ACACGCACCTACTCGGCGCTGCACCGGATCATGGAGATCGTGGACGCCATCACCACCACGGCCCAGAGGTGACGGGGACCCCCCCGTGTCCCCCGCGCCGGGGGGACCCAGGTGTCCGCACCCCGCTCCGGTTTGCCGTGGGGTGAAACTCCTGTCTCCCGCAGCCACCAGCGGACCTTCGTGCTGGAAGTCATGGGTCGCCACTGCGGGTACGTCCCCGCACCACCACCCGGATCCAGCTCCCGATAAAGAAAGTGGGGGAAAAAACCCTAAAGAACCACTTTTTTACCCATTTCCAGCTACCTGGCACTCATCACTGCCCTGGCCTGTGGCGCCGACTGGGTCTTCATCCCCGAGTCCCCCCCCGAGGATGACTGGGAAGATCACTTGTGCCGGAGGCTGACGGAGGTAGGATGGGCTCCAGCGGGCGCTTTGTCCCCATCGTCCCCATCCCCATTGTCACCCCCCTTCTTCTCCCCCAGACCCGCCTGGGTGGCTCAAGGCTGAACATCATCATCGTGGCCGAGGGCGCCGTGGACAAGCATGGCAAGGCCATCACCTCTGACGACATCAAAACCGTGAGCGGGGAGGGAAGGGGAGGGGAGGGGGATACCCCTTGAGGTTTTTTTTGTCCCAGCCCTTTCCCGGCTCCGCTGCGGGGCCGGATCCAGGCGCGTCCCTGTCTCGCAGCTGGTGGTGAAGCGTTTGGGATACGACACCCGGGTCACCATCTTGGGCCACGTCCAGCGTGGCGGGACACCCTCCGCCTTTGATCGCATCCTGGTAGGCAACTCCCTCCCATCCCGGCCCCAGGGGAGAGGGGAACTCCCAGGGAAGGGGGGGTAACGTCCCTGTCCCCGTCCCTGTCCCCACAGGGCAGCCGGATGGGTGTTGAAGCCGTCATGGCTCTGCTGGAGGGGACCCCTGAGACCCCCGCCCGCGCCGTCAGTCGGGCAACCAAGCCGTGCGCCTGCCCCTGATGGAGTGCGTCCAGGTGGTGAGTAGCGGGGGGACGGGACCCCCAAGGACACCCCCGGGCTCCCCGCTGACGGGTGCAATGCAAACCCGGGCAGCGTGACGCAAACCAGCATCCGGCGTGATGCCAATTCGGGCGGCGTGATGCAAGCATGGCTGGGTGTGACGCAAAGCCATACGGTGTGATGCAAAGCCATACAGTGTGATGCAAAGCCATACGGCGCGATGCAAAGCCATACGGCGCGTTGCAAAGCCATACGGCGCGTTGCAAAGCCATACGGTGTGACGCAAAGCCATACGGTGCGAGGG